GCAGCGGTTGTCTACGATTCGTATGGCTGTAATCCCAGGAACAAAGATCCAGGACGAATTGGGATTGTCAGGACGTAACAGTCAAGTTGATTCGCGGTGTTGAAGTCCCAGGAACGGTGTACTGGCACGATTTAGGATTGTCAGGGCGCAACAGTCACGTTGATTCACGGTGTTGAAGTCCCAAGAACGTTGGTTTGACATGGTTGGAGATTCTGAGACGGTTCTCTTTCAAAGGGGCATTTCCCATGATAGAAACCACAAACCCCCGCTTGCCGGGGGTAAGAAGGCGTGTGACATGAGTGGCTGTCCCCATCGCCGGGGGCCAAAATTCGCATTAGAGAAGGGGGGCCAGGGGGGAATGGGGACGAGCTCGCCAACGCACCCCGAGAGCTCTCTGGAGCCTCCCAAAGATCCCCAAGATGGCCCAATGAGCGCCGAGACAATCCAAGAGAGCGTCGAGACGGCCCAGGGTAACGCCGCGACGGTCCAAGATGGCTTCAAAACGGCCTACGAGGCCCCCAAGACAAAGGGCCACCGAGAGGGCCCCAAGAGGCAAAAACACGTCCCATCCATTTTAGGAGAACGTGCATGTTCGATACACACACATACATACACACACACACACACACACACACACACACACACACACACACACACACACACACGCACGCACGCACGCACGCACGCACGCACGCACGCACGCACGCAGTCCTTTGACGTCTTAACAGCGTCCACTACGGCCCAAGAAGCCCTGAAGATCGTCCCAAGACGGCTCATTGGGCCCCCAAGAAGGCCCCGAGACGGCACAATGACGCCTCAAGAAACCCCAAGAGGGCCCCAGGACGGCCCCAGGGACCCCCAAGACGGCCCAAAAGGGCCCGAAGAGGGGCCCAAGAGAGACAATACGAACTGACATCTCAAGTGTTTCCCGCCGCAATGACCCCCCAGGCGCCCCAAGGGGCCCCAAGAGGCTTCCAAAAGGAACCCAAGAGGTCCCCAAGAGGCCTCCGAGAGGCCCCAAAAAGCCAATCAAATGCCCCGAAGAGCACTCCCAAGAGGCCCCCGAGATACACTCCAGGAGACGCTCACGTGCATCCCGGAGGCTCCTGACCCACAGGCCAGGCACGGTGGCACGACTTGTTGCTATGGGGGCCGGCAGAATGGCGTAAGCCGCCTGATGCTCATTCGCTGTAGAGACTTAGGAAGAGGGAACTGGGAGGGTTTACTGCAACATCGTTGATGCGTCTTGGGTTTACACTGGTCCTCCTCCTCCTCCTTCTCCTCCTCATCCTTCTCCTCCTGTCCTGCATCCTGATGGCATGTGAATCCTCCGGATGCTGCCAACGCCCCCCCCCGCCACACCGTCTGGTGTGCGAGGGTGGACCTTAGGGAAAACGGCACGGACGGCCGTTGGTGCGGCCGGCGAGCGGGACGAGAAGGCGACGACACGAAGGGGGGCCGAAAGGGAGGCGAACCGAGGGACCGAACGAGCGTAGGAGGGACAAGAGAGACGCGACGGAGGGCCGCGGCCCCGGCGGCGCGCGGACCCCCCATCCACCCCCGCAGCTCACTCATCGTCACCGCCTCCACCTCCCCCACTCCGCCGGCCCCCTGAAGGCCACGAAATCAAAGGTGGTGTTCCGGTCGACGTTGGTGTTCGGGTCGACGAACCTGTACTCCAGGTGCGGGGCCTTGCTGAGGTGAGCGTCGGCATGGTGCGGGGCGTGGTGCGGGACGTTGTGGAGGCGGGCTCGGCAGTGGGCGTGAGGGTCGTTGGGGGGTGGTGGGCTGGCGGCCAGCCCTTGCCTGGGGACGTGGGCGGGGGGGGGGCGTCGGGCGGGGGTACCTCGTCGGGGGCAGGGGCGCGCTCGGGGGTACCATCGTCCACCAGCTCAACGAGGGATGCGCCGGGAGGGAGCGGGGCGCGCGTGGCCCTGTGGTTGTGGACGCCCATGCGCCGATGGCGTCGGTTTGGAGGGGCCTCTGGGCAGTGGCGCCAGGGAGTGGGGCTGACGGGCAGACCGCCGTGGCGCCTGCATGCCTCCATTTGCCGCGGCGCATGTTGGACGGGACATGCACCGGCCGTGGCCTCGATCCTGTCTGGCTTCGAGGCCGCGTGGTTGGGATGCGGTGGGAGGGATGGTGGCATACGATTCTCGGTGGCAGTCGCGGGGTGCAGTCATGCTGCTGTGATTGTCGTGGTGCGATGGGTGAAGCGCACATGGCGTAGTCTTGGGGTGGTCATGGGGACGGCTGTCGGGTTGGGCGCGGAATGGAGCGTCCGGAGGGGCGTAGGGAGGGACGTCGGGCATGACGTCGCGCGGTGGCTCGGAGGAGCGCGCCTGTATTAACCGCGGCGGCTGACGGTCGCGGTTGGGGCGGGCGTGAGGGGGGCGTGGGGTAGGGCGTCGGTCGGGGCGTCGGGGCGGGCGCATTTTGGGGCCGGGGTGCGGGGGGGGCGTCGGGAAGGGTGGGGATGGTTTATCTGTCGTTTGCTGGGCCTTGCTCCCGGCCTGCTTCTGGGCCTTCCTTCCGCCGGGCCTTCTTTTTTTTTTGCCATCCACGCGCCACGATGCGAAGGCAACCTTGCCCCAGGAGACTTGGCAGCAGGCGCGCCGCCGTTGCCACCGTTAGCAACAGCATGGCATCAAAACCTTCCGCCGGGCCTTCTTGGGAGGCGCGTCGTGGTGGCGACGGCGTTGTTCGCCGACATCGGGGTGGTGGTACTGATGGTCGCATTCTGGTGCCAGTACTGACGTCGATGAAGGAGGCTGCGCTGGCGTCGCTGAGGGCGTCGGTGTTGGCCGCGCTGCAGGCGTCGGCGGTGACTTCACGGCTGGTGGCTGCGTTGGTGCCAGCGGGTGTCGCTGCTGGCGTCGCTGAAGGCGTGGATGGTGGCGTCGAGGTTTGTGGCTGTGCTGGTGCCCCTGCTGCTGTCGATGCCTCCGTCGTTGTACCTGTCGCTGCAGACGTCTGCGTTGGCGTCATTGCGGGTAGATGCGCTGGTGTCAGTGCTGATGTTGGTGCAGGCGGCACTGCTAGCATTGCTGCTGGCTTCGGTGGTGACGTCGAGGCCAGTGGCTGCGCTGGCGGCGGCGGCGGCGGCGTTGGCACGGGCGCTGCCAGCGTCGCGCCAGACGCCGACAATGGCGTCGGGGCCAACTCATAATCGCCAGGCATTGCGCGGGACCACCGGCTGGAACCAGTCGCTGCCGTCGTCGAAGCCGTCGCCGTTGCCAACATCGACGCTGGAGTCGGCGGTGGCGCAGGTGATGACGTCGTCGCTGCAGGCGTCGGCGCGGCACGTCGGTCGAGCAGGGCGGCCAGGGCAGGCGTCGGTACTGTCGTCTCTGCAGGTGTCACCGCTGTGGTCGCTGCGGATGACTGTGCTGCTGCTGTCGATGATTGCGTCGCTGCTGGCGTCGCTGCAGACGCCAGTGCTGGCGTCGACGCTGGTGGCTGCGCCGGTGCCGGCGCTGCTGTCGATGCAGTCGTTGCTGCTGGCGTCGCTGCAGGCGCTTGCGGTGACGTCGATGCTGGTGGCTGAGCTGATCTCGGTGTTGTTGTCGACGCAGGCATCGCTGCCAGCGCGAATGTTGGCGTCGAGGCCAACGACTGTGCTAGTACTGGTGCTGCTGGTGATGGAAGTGTCGCCGCTGCTATCGTTGCAGTCGGCGGTATTGGCGTCAAGGCTGATGGTTGCGCTGGTGCCAGTGCCGATGATGATACAGGCATCGCTGCTGGTCTTGCTGCTGAAGTCGGTGGTGACATCGGGGCTGGTGGCTGTGCTGGCACTGGTGGCGATGTCAATACATCCGTCGCTGCTCGCGTCGCCGCAAGCGTCGTCGTTGGCATCGAGGCTGGTGGTTGTGCTAGCGCCGCGTCTGCTGTCGACGCAGGCGTCTCTGCTGTCGTCACTGCAGGCGTCGGTGTTGTCGTCGAGGCTGGTGGCTGTGCTGGTGCCACTGCTGCCGTCGATGCAAGCGTCGCTGCTGACGTCGCTGTAGGCGTTAGTGGTGACGTCAGGGCTGGTCGTCATGCTGGTGGCGGTGTCGATGCGGTCGTCTCTGCTGGCGTCGCTGCAGACGTCGGCGTTGGCGTCGAGGCTGACGGTTGCACTGATGCCAGCGCCGTTGACGACGCGGGCTTTGCGCACGGCGTCGCTGCTGACGTCGGGGCGGGCGTCGAGGCGGGGCGGCTGTGGTGGTGCATGAGATGATGTCGATGCGGGAATCGTTGCTATCGTCGCTGCTGACGTCGGTGTTAAGGTCGCCTTAAGCGACTGTGCTGGCGTTTGTGCTGCTGTCGATGCAGGCGTCCATGCTGGATTCGCTGCAGGCGTCGGAGCTGACGTCGAGGCTGACGGCTGCGCCGGTGCCCGCGCTGGTGTCGTGGCAGGCGTCGCTGTTGTCGTCGCTGCGGACGTGGGTGTTGATGCAGAGGATGGTGGCTGCGCTGCTGCCAGTGCTGCTGTCAATGCAGGCGTAGTTGCTGCTGTCGCTGCAAGCGTCGGCGTTGGCGTCGAGACTAATAGTTGTGCTAGCGCTGGTGATGTTGATGATGCGGGCGTCGCTGCGGGCGAGCGCCGGGGGCAGGGCCGCGCGCTTGCCCGGCCTGGCCGCCTCGTTTTCCAGTGCCGTGTGCAGCTGGCGCGCTGTGGCCGCTCCCACCTCCTCCTCCTGCTCCCACCTCCTTCTCCTCTAGAAGGCAGAACTTCCACCCCTCATAACAAGCACCCCGACGAGCGAAGCCGGTCAGTAAACGCACCCAAGGAAGGAATCGACCAGGGCAGGGCCGCTTAATGAACGCCCAGGGCCGTTCAGTAAACGCCACTTGTCGGGGTCTGGGTACTTTCTTAGGGGACCGAAGAATGACATAACCATAAAAACTCAGAGGTCCGCGCGGACTGCCGAGTTTTTATGCTTATGTCATTCTTCGCTCCCCGATCTCTCCTCCCTGGATCCTCTCGACCCTCCCAGTCGGGGCGGGGACGCGCCCGCCTCCTGGGCCGCCACGCACAGCAGGGTGTGGCGCGGGTTCCACGCGACCTGGCCAAACGGCATCGGTCGACGACGACGACGACGACGACGACGACGACGACGACGACGACGAGGACGACGGCGACGACGAGGGCGGCGGCGGCGGCGGCGGCGGCGGCGGCGGCGGCGGCGGCGACGACGACGACGACAACGACGACGACGACGACGAAAAACGACGACGGCAGCGGCGGCGGCGACGACGACGACGGGGGCGACGACGACGAAGGCGACGACGAAGACGACGACGATCTTGAAATCGTACCGAATCGGACTGTGCGTCGGATCGAGCTGCACGGGCAGAACCGAAATCGAATCGGATCGGCTTCGCCTGGATGCACAACGAGGCAATGCGAACATCGGGCCGCATCGGACCGTCGGAATATCAGAGATCGCCATCGAATCGGATCGAGCCAGCCGGAATCGATCTTGGATCGATCGGATCGAAATTGACCCTGGTCGGCGAGCTTCCTCCCCCGCCCAGAACGCGTGCAAGACCCGTCCCCAGACCCCTCCTCTGCACCATCCGGACCCGTTTCCCGAGCAGCGCCTACAGAGGCCTCCTGAATGGGGTACGAATAGATGGGGTCAGAGGGTCGCGCTGAATCGCCGATACATCGGCGATGCATCCGCGATGGATCGGCGATGCGCCAGCGATGCATCGACGACGTCGGCGATGCATCGGCGCCATCGGCGTGGAGAAAATCGGCCTCCACATCGAGCCGCATCGCTGGTGCACTGGCGATGCGGCATGATCCCCCGACCCCAGCCACTCCGACCCCATCTGGCAGACCTAGAGCCTATGTCGGTGGTCATCGTGCTGCCCCTGGGGGCCGCTAAACACGGAACGAGGCCCCTTTGTAGCCCCAGAAGCGCCTGGGTGAACGAGGAGCCCTAGAGTTAGGTCGGTCAAGTCCTGAAAATTCAACAACATTCGTCGTGTTTTTTGCACGAAGCGAGGGGATCAGGCAATCCTTCTTCGAGCCGCCGCCCCGCGCACCCGTCGACGGCCCTCAGACCGTGCGTTGGCGCCAACGCGTGCTGGGCCACCGAAGCCCTTCAACACGACGCAGATGGTGCAGCCATGGCCGACACGGGCCGAACGGGATAAACACACACTGTTCGCCGGCAGTTCATGGGAGCCTCCCATACCATCGTGTCGGCTCTTGCGAATCGACGCCAATCGGCGCCAAATCTATCCTAATCGACCCTAAATCGACGCTAAATCGACGCTACTCAAAGCTAGCCGACGCTAAATCGGCGCTATCTCATCGACTCCCGTGCTAGTCGACGCGAATCGACGCTAAAGACGAAATGACGAGGGTACGCCAGGCTCCCATGAGTTGATACCGAAACATTGGGCGAACACACGTCCCAGGAGAGCCCAGAATCGAATCGATAAATCGGATCGGCGATCGACATGAGTCGGATCGGCAGAAACCGGCAGCCGATTCGGAAGAGAACTCGACTCGGCAGAAAACGGCAGGCCAGTGGGCCTCCATTGAGACATCGGATCCCGAATCGGAACTCCCAGCCGCATCGCATTAGTTTCTGAATCCATCGGGATCGAATCGAAGGAATCAGGGGAATCCAAGCGGGCCTGCGGGGCGGCGCCGGCGAAGCGAGGCGAGGCGAACGCCGGAGTCGTGCGCGCTCCGCCGAGGAGGAGGAGGAGGAGGAGGAGGAGGAGGAGGAGGAGGAGGAGAAGGAGGAGGAGGAGGGGGAGGAGGAGGAGGAGGAGGAGAAGAGAGGAGGAGGAGGAGGAGGAGGAGGAAGGAGGAGGAGGAGGACGAGGAGGAGGAGGAGGAGGACGAGGAGGAGGGGGAGGGGGAATCCAAACGAGCCCTGCGTCCTGAGGATCCTCGCGCCCGCGGGGCGCGGCCGCGCCGCGCGACCGCCGTCGCCACGGACTCGAACCTCACGGTCCGGAAGGGCCGGCCGGAAGCCACCTGAGCGGGGGGGCGGCGGTGGCCGCTGGAGGCGCCGCCAGGGGGGGCCCAGCGCCGATCCGAGGAAGCCTCGACCATCGATCCTCGACCCTCCTCGACCCTTCCAGAACCTCATCGATCCTCCTCGACCCCGATGTCTCTGCTCCTCCGCTCGAAGAAGAGACTGCGTAGGCAGAGGCTTTCGGAGGCCCGGGAGGATGCGCTGAACCCCCCTCCCCGGCGCGCGGAGCGCGCCAGGGGCGGCGCTGGAGGCGCCGCCAGGCGGGCCCAGCGCCCATCCAAGGAAACACGCGCGGAGCTCGGAAAGTCCCCGAGAGGTCCGAGGTGACTCCCCGCGCCCTCGCGGAACCTCCTCGTGCGGCCCTCGCTCGGGCACGCGAACAGCACACGCCCATTCCCATAGGGGGCACGGAGGGGGGCTGCGGGTGCGTGCTGTCGGATGGGGGTCCCCGTGCGAACGGGGGCTTCACCCAGGGACCGACAACCCGCACCCATACCCATACCCATAGCCAGTCCTCCTCCCTCCGACCCTCCTATGGATATGGCTGTGTGTGTGTTGCTCGCTCGTCACGCCTTGGGAGGAAAGGAAGGCATCCCAGGCCAGAGGCGATCCCCAGTTCGCAGCCTCCGCCACGCCCCGGCACGCTCCGGCCTCCTCGGCCGGTGGTCCGACCTCTTGTTCGGGGCTCCCTCGCCGTGGACATCGGCCCGTGAACCCACGCCCCACGTAAGCCGCGAGATGACGCCCACACCCCCCAACTAGAAAGACTTGTCGAAGAACAAGAAGAAAGCCATAAACTCTTTCGGAGCTCCGCGCGGATTTCCTCGCTCGGCGCAGAGCCCCTCTCCCCGCGCCGATCCGATAAGTCCGCGTGGAGCTCCGAAAATGTCTCTGTGCCGTTACTTCTTCCTCGACCGTTGGAAGCCACGAGGTGGCATCGATACCCCGCACCCCACCTCCTGCTTCATCCCGCAGGGCCGCAGCCCAGGAATTGGGGCCCTGGCCCTCAGGTCGGCAGAACCCAGCAGAGCTCAGCAAAGCCCAGCAGGGCCAAAGGCTGTATAGGGATTTGTAGGGCTGAGCAAAGCTTGCCAAGGCTGAGCAAGGCTCAGCAAGGCTCAGCAGGGCTTAACAAAGCTTGCCAAGGCCTAGCCAGGAGTAGCAAGGCCTAGCACGGCTGAACAGAGCTTACCAGTCCTTAGCAGGGCCTTGTAAGGCTTACCAAGGCTCAATCGGATGAGCCCCAAGAAATGCCCCCCCCGGGCATGGCCCTCGAAATTCCGAGCCCACGCCTGCTGGCAATGGGCTGGACTTTCGAGGACCCTGCTCGGGGGACATTTTTTCTGTCGATTGGCAGTTCTCCTGGATATCCGCAGATCGCGACGATATCGTCCACAAAACTCTCATATGCGTAACTATGCTGAAGAAGAGGATGAGGAGAACGAGGAGAAAGAGGAGAAAAAGAAGACGATGAGGAGGCCATGAGGCGCGAAAGCCTGCACGTGTCGTGTGACAGACCGCATACTCCACAACCTCCTGGCCTCGGAGGATCAGGAACTGGAGGAGGAGGGAGGGAGGAGAGGGGGGCAGGAGGACGAGAGGGAGGAACAGGCAGGTAAGGGGGGAAAGGAAGGAGCAGGAGGAGGCAAAGGAGGCGGAGGAGAAGGAGGAAGAGGTAAGGGGGAAGGAGCAGGAGGAGGCGGAGAAGGAGGAGCAGCAGCAACCGCGACCCCCAAACGCCCCCCCTGCGATTACACTAGAGGCCCTCCTGCCGCTCAACGGAAGGCCCCCCCGACTGGCCCGCCGCCCACCTCCCAGATCCGCAGCGTCTGGTCCGCCGACACGGTCGCGAGCCACTGCCCTGAGGCGTCCTGGCCCAGTGCCCAGGCACCACGCAGGGAAGGAAGCTCCTCCTCCTTCTCCTCCTCTTTCTCCTCCTCCTCCTCCTTCTCCTCCTCCTCCCACTTCTCCGAAGTGAATTCGCATTATAGTTTGTAGTATCATTAGTAGTATGCTTAATACTATTGTGCTTCTGCCTGTGCCTCGTATGATTATGATAATTCGTCAGATTGATCATGTTAGGGTTAGCATGCGTACTCTTACTATATTAGTTGTACCAGGATGATGGTTCGTAGTATCATTACTAATATTACAATAGTGGTAGCGTTCGCCTTCTGAATGTTCTTTTGATTCGCCTTAGTAGTGTTAACAGTATTATTGTTACGAGTGCTCGTCGTCATGTTATTATTATCAGTCCTGTGCATATTCTTATCCATATAATCATGACTCGTATCTTTCGTACTATGAATGTGCTGCTCAGCTTTTTCAGTACTATTATTACGATGTATGAATCCTAATCTTAGTCGAGTGGTATCCGCACTGTTGGTATAATCATGTATATTTCCCCTTAGTAGAGTACTACTACTACTACTACTACTACTACTACTACTACTACTACTACTACTACTACTACTACTAGGAGTAGTAGTAGTAGTAGTAGTAGTAGTAGTAGTAGTAGTAGTAGTAGTAGTAGTAGTAGTAGTAGTAGTAGTAGTAGTGGTAGTAGTAGTAGTAGTAGTAGTAGTAGTAGTAGTAGTAGTAGTAGTAGTAGTAGTAGTAGTAGTAGTAGTAGCATTAGTGCTTTTCGTATTATTATACTTCATAGTAATCTTATGGTTATTCGTGTTAATCAGAATCGCAATAGTCTTGGTATGACTTGGACTCTTCGTTGTCAAATTGTGACTAGTGGTGTTACTACGTCAAGGTATTAATAGTACTCATATTGTTCGTGGTATGACGATTGTTCCTCCTAGTTTTTCTCGTAATGTTCCTCTTCAGCTTCCTCTTAGTATCCCTCATGTTCCTCCTCTTCTTCTGTTCCCTCCTCCTCCTCCTCCTCCTCCTCCTCCTCCTTGTCCACTGCCTCTTCCTCCCCCTCCTCCGCCTCCTCCTGCTCCGCCTCCCCTATCCTCCGCATCCTCCTCGTCATCCTCCTCCTCCTCCTCCTCCTCCTC